GAAGTACGTGTAGTCTGCAGCAAAGAGCAAAAACACATTCCACTTAATTTTCCTCTATCCACTCTCTCCTTTCCTTTCTCTCTTGCATTCAGACTCATCCCAATTGCTTCTATCATGGAAAAGTCAATGGACATCCAAAGTGGCAAGCTGTCATCAGTACATGTCATGGATCGAGGTAAAAGAGAGAGAGGGGGGAAGGAACAAGAAAAATAATTACTCATGCACAATCAACATGTATTTGTTTTTGCTGAATGTATGCTGAATTATATATAGTTGCATGCCATTATGCTTTGTTCTTAATTTAAGGCATTTTGTGTATATTGTCCCAACCTTCATTGGTAGAACTTCTTCTCTCTTGCATGGGTAATGATAGTACATACTCATGTACATGAATCACTTTTATGTACATGTAATGACCTCCCTCTATTGTAATACAAACAGTATTGGGCCATTGGCACATTTATTTTTTGTGTCAACATTTGGTCTTTTTGTTCTTCTCTGTCTCCTGTTTACCCCTTTTTACGGCAGTAAAAAAGACGTTTCCTTCATTTTCGTGAATTACTGGTGGGGTCGAGATAATTTCAAGCATATACCATAGATCGGGAAATTTTTGTTGTTAAAATATTTTTGCTGTTGAAGTAACCCATGAAATTTTAACACATGAAATATTTTCTACAGTGAATAATAAGATTACCGGAATTGTTTTAACATGCAACAATGCATGCATGAGGCTTTTCTAAAAGCCCGATGAAGGCCTGAAGCTCTCATGCAAGAGGCTTCTTGTCAGTTTCAGTACTGTCACGAGCAACTTCCATTGAATAGCTATCCATCATCATCATCAAGAGTTAGTAGCCACGTGTCCAGTTCATGACACATTCAAAAATTTTTATGTTGAAAAAATTTCACAGATGGGTCAACCAGCAAAAATAAAACACCTTTAAAAAATGTCACGCCAATTATTTTTAACATGAAAATTTCCTGATCTACGGAATGTTGGTACTTCTGACAACTTCTGATTGCTCCTTAAAGCACTGGAAACTGCTGAAATCATGATCAGGGGGTTAGATAACTTTGTTAAGAGGCTTGGTAGTGATGCCAGAGTCCAGGATTTGAGTAATTTTTTTCTGAGCCCAGGCATGAGGGGGGTGCTCAAGCCCCCTCAGCCCCCCTTGGATATGCCACTGGTCTGAGTCTGGTCACTCTAGGGAAACTGAATAAGTGTTAAACATTATATTATACCATACACCTTGAATTCCTACCAAATAAGAAAAGAAAGAGATAGTTACAACCATGAGCCACAGGTGTGCTATCGTGACAGCAGAATAAGCAGACCTGTGGTTTTTATAGCAGATTTACTGATCTACTTGAGGCAGCCACATGCCTTTTTGTTCTACTGCACATGCTCAGTAAACCATGATTTAATTTAATTTAATTTAATAGAGTTTTACAGGACAAACAGAGAGTAAAACATACAAATGGCACAAATAGAGGAGATTGACACAGGAGGCAAAATCCCAGAAAGACAAACAAACAAACAAAAAGGGCAAAAAAAAATAAATAAACATAAACATGAACAAAGATCAACAAAAGAGAAAAACTACCTTAAAGCCACTATTATTTGCAAATACTAATTTTTTTGCGTTTTTGCAAGTGGCTTTAAAATTGTAAAAAATAAGTACTAAAAATTTAGGTTTATTAATAGTTATTAATTGAAAAAAGAGCAAAATTGTAAAAATTAGTACATGCTAAATCAATACCATTAACAAATCGCAAATATTTGTCTACTTAAAAATAAGTGGCTTCAAGGTATTATGATTTATTAGCTTGAATGAATCATGAGATAATGAGAGACTGATGGATAGAGGGAGTTTAGAAAAGTAATGATTAGTGGAATCAAAATTTGCTTGAAAGTGTGTGATGAAAAAGTGATTTAGTTCGTTTTTAATTACATAGTAAGTCGATTTAATTGTTAAGATCTATCTATCTATTCCAGATGGCTTACCTTTGCTCAAGTATACTTTATAAAGACCTTTCCCACCACTGTGCGATTAGCATTGAATATCATTAATGAACCACCATGTTGTGGGATGAATGCATGTACAGTGATGAATGGGGGAAAAGTAACTTTTTCAATTTTCATTTTAAATGCAAGCTCTGCTTCACATAGAAATGCTCGCTGCACATTTGTTGTATAATTCTACTTATCATACTACAATTTGGTTTTTCCTTTTGCAGTTATTTTGGAAAAAATAAAGAAATAGTGCTTTTTGCCCATTCATCACTGTACATCTATCCCACAGCATATTGGCTCCTTAATGATATTCATTGCTAAATGCTGCACTGGTGGAAAAGTCTATAGCAAATAAACTGAGTGGTAGTGCTCTATGGCCCTTGGCCTTGGTTTTGGGTGTTACTGGTGGACACCCTCAACCTGGTCCTCAGCCTTGGGTCTGCTATCTGCTATAGAGCACTTACTACCACCCAGTCTATATACCATATAGCTCAAAACTTTTAGGCTGAAAGCTAAACTTTTGCAAATTTCACGGTTTACATTTACGTGTAGGTCCGCTCAAACACAAAAGTTTTAATCACATCAAATCACAGGGTGTGATTGAGTAGGCGTGTGCTTGCCTTAGTGAACTTAGTGATCCACATGTGTTTTATAATGGCCTCTATTAGCTGTACCTCGAAGAAAGAACCGAGAAGACCAAGACCCTCTTGCAGTCATGCTTTTTGTTTGCCTGATGCAGTAAGAGCTTTCTCAAGGTGATGCCATCTTCAAGTGTAGAGTTTCTAGCCACACACTCAATGCAATGGACCTGGGCCATTCACTAAAATCAATTGTGAATATCTCTGTTTTCACTTATTTGCAAAAGTTTTCAACCTCAAAAGTTTTGAGCTATACGGTATTACATGTACTAGTCTGGTGTGGTCGATGATGTGACAGGAAGTAGTGTGCTAATACTCAGGCATAGTTGTATTGATATGAAACAAATAGTGTATAATGGTGGTGTAGGGTTCCCACTCATTCCTTTTTGATAGCTACTCCACAAGTATAATTATTATGTATACATATATGTAATGTTTTATTTGATTCGTTTGAGGTGTGGAATGAAGCAGACATTGTGTACGATGCTTCATGTTGTCTATAGACTAACATATGTACATGTAGACTAAACTTACTAACACATGTCTCTTTCCTTCCCTCCTCTCTCTCTCTTTTTTCTGTCTCTCTCCACAGAGGCTGGTTTGGTGATTTGAATAATGAGAACTCTTTGTATCATCTGGAGCCACTCACTGAAGATCACTTACGTGTCAGTCCAGAGAAAGATGTAAGTGTAAACACAACACTAGAGCTAGCTGTCATACACTAAACTGATACAATAATGATAATAATAATAAAATTTTTTCTCATTTCCTTTCTCTTTCAAGACCCTGGATGATACTCATGTACTCTATAAAGACACAGAGAATAAGAAAAAACTTCAAAATTCTGTCTGTGGTGAGCCACCTTTCTCCTCTTCTTCTGCACACAAATCATTTTGTACACAAATTCACTGCCACTGCTTGAAATAAGTTGAATAACACTACTCAAATGTAAATTAGAAATTATTTTATTACTCTTACTATTTCTATTGCTTCTTTTAGAATTGTACACATTTATGGTATTGTATACATTATGTCATGATTCTTTTTCCCATTCAGGTACTCCTCATGGAAATGTCTCATCAGATAGATTCAAGCTTCCTTCAGAAGGAGGCAGCTCTCTGCATAGGGTATTCATCATTTTAATGACCGTGTAATTGTCATGTGTTTGATCTCTAGATGAGGAGGCAGTCTGGTGGAGCTACTAACATTGTTGAGTTATTGATAGTCAATGATAACCATCAGGTAAGATTAATTAAAATAAAAGAAGATAAAACATTGTTATTTTGAACTACCGGTATTATACTCTGTATATATATGGTTAAAATAGTTTTAAACAATTGTGTGACTGGAATCCAAATATTGTGTTTTTTTTATAGTACATTGCTTATGGAAGGAACATCAGTGCAGTTGTATTGAGGGCAATAGAAATATTTAGTCACGTTGACATGGTAAGGATCACTGCTAATGACTAGTGCTTTTTCTTTATCTCAAATTTCATTCTCTCGTTTGAATCATTATTTCTATTTAAAAAAATTATTTCTCTCTCCCTCTAGTTGTATCAGTCTATTAATGTTCGTGTTGTGATTGTTTATTCGTTGACATGGACAACACGACAAGAGATATCATTCAGTTCAGCACCAAACACTCTACTGACACTGTTCCGTCAATACCACATTACCACCACTGCATTCAGATCCATCACTCATGATAGCACCCAATTGATCACGTGAGTCTCTTTTACTACAAATAATGATAGCTTATATGATTTATT